CCTTGCGTGCCACGCCTACACGGGCTTGGGATGACTGTTTTGAAGGAAGATACTGGATCCTTATTGGAGCCCCTCAGGATTCAAGCCCTTCATTTCCTCTATGAATTTATGGGTAGTAGTCCAGAAAATGTACAGTGCTCTCGTGTCTTGCGACTTCAGGATAGGGGCTGAGGAGAAGGAGCATGAGGCAGGAACCTAATTTCGCAAGCTCCTTGGGTCCTATCATCAGCAAAACGCAATAGCAGCCTAAACCCTAAACCCTAAACCCCAAACCCTAAACCCTAAACCCTAAACCCCAAACCCCAAACCCCAAACCCTAAACCCTAAACCCTAAACCCTAACCTTCCGTGAGGCCTTCCCCGGTCGCGGCGATGCATGAGATCGATGGGGCAGGTCGCGGAGGGCACCACCACCATCTCTCACCACACCGTGCGCCCGCATGGCAAACCTCAAGGGAGGACTGTCTTCCGGGCCGTTTAGCGAGTTTACAGGCTTTAGGGTTTAGGGGCGAATCTTTCAACTCAGTTGGGGGGGGGGGGGGGGGGGGGCGGCGGTCCAAACGCACCGAAAGCAACAAAGCAGACCAAGAGCTTGACAGGAAGCCTGCGAAGTCTTGTGCGAAGGAGAGCAAGTCAGGATATTGCGGGGCGCCGGTGTGTCGGTGTGAGAGCCGGTTCTCACGTTCTCACACGGAGTGCAGAGGTTGAAAGCTCACTCTGCGGAGAGGCATGGAAGCCCGTGCCAGTTGTGACTCAACACTGGAAAGGCTGCCAGCAACTCCGGCGAGCTCAGGGCGCTTGTTCAAGGATTCGGATGTCAAGCCCAGACGTCTGGCACCAGTAAACAATGCAATATCGGACGACCACCGCTTTACACAGTCAGCCGAGTGATCAGGATCTATGGCAGGGGCGCGGGGCCAGACGTGCTTTCCGGCAATTTGACAGCACGATGCATGATCCACCAGGAAGGCTTCCTCGACATGGCCCGGGCTTAATTCGTGCTACCTGGACTCCCCGACGTGCCCTATGCTGTCTCTCCAGGAAGGCAGCTTCCTCTACCTGGACTCCCTGCACCCAGCGTGCCTTTCGGGCTCTCTACAAGGCACCTATCAGTCACACATCGCGAGATACCACCCAGACCCATGGCTCTCCTACATGGCACGCACAACCCGCAAGCAACCTCGGAAGACGAGCTCGCCCCGCGTTGGCTATTGTTGGCCCAAGTGTGGCAGGAATCCAACACTGCTGGCAAACAGCCGGCAGATGGCGGCAGCAGCTGTGCATGAAAACGCACTCGACACCTCCACCAGCGAGAGCGAAGTCAGTTCCACATTTTTCAGGCCGCTGCAAAAGGCACCGGCTCAGGTCTTGGGTCTGGGTCGACCTCGCAAGTTTACAGACGCCCAAATTTGTCCAAATGGCAAAGGTAGCCGTAAGTAGCCGTGACTTCGGGTCCGAAAAGACTCAGTTGGAGTTCGGGTGCGGAGAGTGCCAAGACGAAGCTCGGGTCCGAGGTCCGGGACCACAAGGTTTGCAGCAAGGTTTCGGCCGCCCGTAGCATTTGAGGGTGGGAAGAAAGGTTTCGGGTTCCGAGAGCTGACGTTTGGGTCAGAATGAGGAGATCCATCGAGATGCTAAGAATCTCGGAGGCCCCAACCTTACGGGCATCCGGAGGGCCTCGCCGTCGTCGTAAGCCTGGGCTGCGGGCCCTGTTCGCGCAGCCCCGAGGGCAACTAAGGATTTCCGGAGCATGGCCTAAGCTCCCCATCCACCGCCAAAGAAGGTTGCAAGGTGACCACAAAACGAACCGGAGACGCAGAACATTGTTCCGGCATCTCACATGGCTGACCAATGTCAGGACACACAGGCGGGAAAGGATAGTGGATTTTCATGCGCCGACGGGGTTTGTAAAGAAAGCTTGCATCAAAAAGCACACTAGATGTTGCAGTTGTGTACTTACGCTTCGCCCACGCCAGAGCTGCCGTCAAAGTTTCGAAGCGCTTGGAAGGCGTTTCACACTTTTCGACCAAGACAGTGAAGGAGCTCGTCCAAGCCCCAGCCCTCTAAGGCGTGCCGCCCACACCAGAAGCACTTGGAAGATCCCCCACTTTTGTAAATGGAGGCAGGGTCACGGGTCCTGATGTGCCAATATCCGTCTTCCTTCTTGGGTTTGTTTGGCTGGTTGGCCGTGAGGAGGCTAAATGCCTGGTAGGACAGAAAAGCCAGCGTGAAACCTTGGAGCATGAGATGTCAGAGCCTTATCTCACCCACGGCTTTTAATCCAACCCTCGGATCATAAACTCACATCAACCCAAGACCTGCTCTAGGGCCCTCGGGATGGTGCAGGTGCAGCTTCGAATCTGAGAATGGCTGAGAGATCCCCCTCCGTGTGTGAGGGGGGGGACGTTCGAACCTGCAACATTGCAGACGCGCCTCATTTGAAGGCAAGATGGACCCCTTCGCAAGCTTAGAGGTCCCGCAAGCAACCTGGAACATTGCAGATTCAACGTCCCCCGCCCCCTTGCCCCAGCGGACAGTAGTTCTGGAGCATGTCCGGCAAGCACTGCGTATTCCAAGCTCCAGTTGTGTGCGTGCGACCTACCCGAGAAGGCAGCATGACAGGTATCCAGTCGGAGGCAAGATTGAGATTGGGGTGACCACAATGCACCGCATGCTCTGATGCACATGAACAGGGTCGTGGGGCGGAAAGGACAGGGTTGCTTGTGGCCCGACGGTGAAGAAGCAGTCAGCATTAATGGAGGTCTTGGACTTGAGATGAGGGGCAACCCACAGCAGAAAGCATCCTGCCTGCCGAGGCACGTGATATTGGGAGAGTTTCGGGAGTGGGATGGCGTCAGGAGCCCTGCTCATAAACAGCCGCCAGTTTCCCGGAGTCTTCTTTTCTGGGCTGCTGTCGGACAGCCTCGGCCTTGGTAGGCTGCTAGGCTATAGCTGTAGCCCTCGAAGAGGATCGAAACGTGACCTCGCCATTGGCCTCAGGATTTCTGATGAGGCCCGGAAGCCAAGGAAGAAGAACACACGAAAGGAGATTGTTGTTTCGCGGCTAGTGCGCTTCCTAAATTTCCTAATGGCAGACCAATACCTTCACCTTCAGCGGAAACAACGGAAACGAAAGCACTGCAATTTTCGATGCTTCAACTTTTGAAGTTGCAGGTTTGCCTCCACCGCTGCCAGGCGGCGGACTGCAATGTCGCACTTGGGAAGGTCCCCCCCCCTCATGTCGCGAAGCAGAAGCCGGGGTCTGCAACGGTACAAAGCTGCAAAGAAACAGCGGCGGTATGTGGCGGTGAAAACCCGATATGGCCGTGAAGTGTCTACCTTGTGGCCGGGAACCATATGGCCGCATTTTATGTGTGCAGTTGCACCTTTAGGGAGTCACTATGGCAAAAAGCACCCAGGCACTTTCCATGAAGTTCGCTGATAGCATGGCGTTGAAGACACTTTGTCAGGAGACTCGCCACTGACCCGGAGATGAGATCCCTGTCACCAACACGCCCCTGCAGCGCAGCTAACAAGCTTCCCCCTCTCCGCACTCCCCCCAAACGTGACCCCCAAGTCTTAGTGTCGACTTGTTTCGACCCCCCTACTGGGCATCGTGTTTGCGGAGAGCTTGCCCACCCCTGGTAGGCAGATTGCAATCGCCGGGTGATCGCGCTTCGCCTCAAACCAACTCAAACCACAATCGTCAACAGCACAGACGCTCCCGCACCGGGGCCTTTCAACTTTTGGCCCCCCGGAGAACCGGCCAGCTCCAGAATTTCTGTCGAACCACAATCTGCAATCGTCGACAGCACAGACGCTCCCGCACCGTGGCACCCTTTCAACTTTTCAGCTCCACAAGTTCAGGGCTTAGGGATTGGGGCCCAGGCGGGCTACAAGGGGGGACCACTCTCCAGTCGAGAGAGTTGAGAGTGGCCCAATGGTCTCTCATGAGAAGCTCCTTGTCACCAACGAGCGAAGCTTGGCGAAGAGCCCGAAGATGGCTCAGAGACCCCTTGAAGTTGCATGCGTGGCCTTTCAGCAGTTTGAAGAGGTCACCCCCCGTCTTAGCTTCTTAAAGCTTCTTTTAAACCGCACTGAGCCGTTTGGTACCAAACAGCGAGACTCCCCTCCCATAGTGGCGCCACTCCTCCGGCTCAAGCCATTCTGTTGGGGAGGGCTGGGGCTTCACAACTTGGGAGCAGAAGCACCGCCTGGCTTGTCAGGAGGTATCGGTCACCACCTGGCTAGAGGCGGGGCTCGCCCCCGTCTGTTCAGAGTAGGGACCCTACGAACATGCCCTGTGAGTTTTCCCATGCTCGGCCAAGTTGCCCAGAGGCTCTCCGGGCATTATCTGTTCATGCCAGGAGTCAGGATTAAGGATGCGGAGCTGCTGCCAAGGTGATCTCAAGCGCCGGGCTCGGATCACGGCCTTCAACAAGCCTAAGCTTTAGGATGTTACTCCTAAGACGGTCACAAGAAAAGATCTAGGCGGCAGAGACTGCGTCCTCTGGAGTGTTACGCTGGTGTTAAGTTAGAGGCGTCTCAGAGTCAAAGCTTGCCGGTGGCTTACGCCCTGCTGACAGCTCAGAGGAGCACTTCACAAGCACTTGGAGCCTGCAACTCCGCGCCTTGTGGGAAGCAAAGGATGGGCCGGACGGGCTGGAAAGGGAAATCCGGGATGGCACAAGCTGGCCAAGACCTTCCCAATCTGTTCAAGCGACAGCCGCAGCGTGGCCAGTAGGGGAGGTGGGGCAAGGTCAGGGACTTGAGGGACATGGTGAAGTGCCGTCGTTGCTTCGCTTTGAAAGCGCAGCTTCACCGGTGTAGCTGAGATTCGGCAGCTCGAGTCCGCGAGAGGCTTGTGGGGTTCGTCCCTTACACAGCTCTGTCTGCCGAGCTTGGCAGGGTTTGGCGTCTCGCGCTCAGCACTCAGCAAGGAAGACGCACCCTGTGGCGCTGCCGGGTCTGGGCTGAAAGGGAGAGGGGAGAGAGGGCATCATGGGGATTCAAGAAGCCTGTGAAGAGAAGCGGGGCAAGCGCGCCGATTCGACCAGTTGGATTCTGCGGAGCTTCGGCTGCAAGGCAGAAGACACCAAAAAAAGTGTTCCAGCACATCTCCATCCTCACCCACGGAACCCGAGGCAGGGTCGCCCTTCAAAGCAGGAACTTCCCAGCATGCTTCAAGAAATTGAGGTGCTCTGGGACATCGATGGTTCTCTCCCGCTACCTCAAGAGGGGTGCTTGACGCCAATGTCGGTTGCCGGAAGTGGCCCAGCTAGGGAATGCCTTCGAACTTGAACCGCACGCTTCTCAAAAGGTCACATAAGGTTCACAAGCTTCTCAACATTTGTCACATCTTGTCACGCTGAAAAGCGCGCGCGCCTCCTTTGATTATTTTCGAGTCAGCGAGCTTGCGGCGGCATTTGGGATTGAAGACGGCTGGGACTGGCTGAGACACGGAAACAACACGAGTTCCGGTGCCTTGAGGGTCCTTCCCTTTGCCCGCATCGAGCGGTAACGCCGGTGGGGCCCGTCTTGCGATTTCACAGATTTCACAGAGGGGCGAGGCGTGCGCAGGCCGGCCCAGTGTGGTCGGCTGTTGATTTCTTGCTCGCTGATCCTATATGATTCCCTGTGATACACCCTTTTTTTGGGGGGATGCGATGGAGACTTTGCGTCCCTTGCCTCTGCGTGCAAGTAGAGCCCCGGCCCCGCCCCCACCCCCCTCGGCGGTCTGCAGGTTCTGCCTGTTCTCGTCGTTCTCGCACGTCCCGGAGAGCAACTCAGGAGTGCTTTGTGGTGCCGAAACGCTCAGCTCTTAGTAGGGCCTGGTCCTCGCTGGCAGGCCTCACTCCACGCAGCTCTCGAAAAACTCGGAATGAAGTGTGATCCGGAATCCTTTGCCTGGGTGAGCCCTGAGCTCACGTACCTCCCCTCTGACATGCGGCCGAAGGAAAATGAAGGAGCATGAAGGAGCACGGCGCGCTAGCGCTTCGGGAAATAAGAGGCTCAGGACAGGCCTCCCGGCAAGCAAAAGGTAGGTACAGCCGGTAAGGCCACTTTCATAGCACGCTTCTGGTACAGTTTGCTCGAGGGAGATCAGAGTGCTCAGGCTCTTTGGGCCTTACGCTTTGGGCACAGATCCCACGGATGCCAGGAGACCCGCATCCCAAGGACTCGAACGGCAAAAGCAAGTTCTCTGAAGCGAAGCAGCAGAGCTTCACACGCTGGTCGGGAACATGAGGGGGATGCTGAGAAGAGCCAAGGTCAGCAAGGTTGTGTTATGTTGTGTCATGTTGTGTCATGTTGTGTCTGCTGTGATGTCAGAGCTTGGGGAGGGAGCTTTGGGACATCGGAGACTTCTGCAAAATGCCTTTCGCAGACCTCACTCGGACCAACATGCATCGTCAATTGAAGTACAGCCGGCGTCTTGGCCTTGCTGCACCTACTGAGAGCGATGACTTCCTCAATAGCCAGTAGCCAGGAGAGGAGAAGTCAAGAAGACCAAAACACAACGGGAGCCTTCAAGGGAGGAGCGCTTGAAACCCGCCCACCCATCTTTGCTTGACCAGATGCTGAAGATTGAAGGGCGCCGGACACATCCACACGTGCTACGCCTTGCTGAGCTAAGTGGAGTTCCGGCAACCAGACTAAGTGGCCCCGCTGGAGAATTTGCAGGGCCTTGATCCAACATTGCTTCGCGCTCCCATCTTCTTCGGTTACTGTCCTTTCGGGCCTATGCAGAACAGAACTCTGTCGTCTGTTTTGCAATCTGTGGTGGAGGCCCAGCCGACAAGGTTCGGCGAATGCCACAGGCACAAGTGCAAAGCTTTTAAAAGCGGAGCAGAATCTGAACGGAACGACCCTGGCTGCTTGACCATAAGGCTGGGTAGCAAAGTGCCTGCGCCACTGTCGATGCTTCGTAGGGCGTTGTAGGGGTGTCCGTGAAACATGATGCCGAAGGCATTGTCGGATGCCCCCGCCGACTTTGCCGACTTTGGCCGTCAGAGCGGCGGAGGCGGATGGGCTCAGAAGCGCGGGACTCCTGCAGAGTCCAGGACGGTAAGAGCTGCACGTCCCTGTCCTACAAGACTTGGCACGGGCACGAAGAATTGGTGCGGCGGTCTTTCCTGGTCCTGGGACAGGGTGTTTCCAAAGCCACGTTAGGGGCAGCTGTGTGGTTATTATTGAAGAGGTTGATGGCATCGGCCACCTGGCACTCATCGCCTCATACTCGGAACTCAACTAGGTTTTTTGGCCCAGCCTCAGGCTTCAAGTGACGGTTTTCGCTTTTGATTTCCGGTTTTCCAACCGACACGAACCCGGAGCAGACCGAAGCCAAAGAGCTCACCGAACGCAGCATTGTGCAGGGAAGGCAGGACAAAACCTCAACGCAATCTCTCGGCGCCGCCTGTTACTTCGGCGCCGGATGTACTGAGCGAGAGGCATCAAGTGTGCCGACCGCCGGACGCGGCAGCAGGAACGCAGGTGGACTTTAAGGAAGGTGATATGACTCAGCTTCTGACCGAGCGGAGTTGTGAGGGCTCATCTGCGCGGGGTGGCTGTGGATTCACATGAGCGCAGACGAAAAGCCCCTCAAACATGGCACCAGAGAAAGGCTGCGGCAGGCACTGGGCGGGGCATTTGGCACAGCACTTTGGCAGGCCGAAGGCCCTGCAAAGTGCAACTCTCCCACTGAGCGGCGTGTCATGGAGGTCTAGGATATTGATGGGCGCCGGTCGCAAGGTTCTGGCGTCACGTGCGAACATGCTGAGGTGTTCTTTGAAGCTGGGATGTACTCGACAGCCCGCAAAGAACACGGCGCAACGAAGATGGAGTAATGAGGGAACATCTCATGAGGCTCGGAAAGGGCTAAATCGCCTGCATAAGCCTTCGCATGACCCTCATTTTTGCAGGAAGATTTTTGCAGGAAGGAGGAGAGTCAGAGGAGAGTCAGAAGGAGACGCCTGGAGCCTTTGGGCCATGGACTGCTTGACATGTCAGTTTGACAGGCGCGCTTGGGATGGGGATGGACATGGATGGCTGATGCGGATGTTTTTCCCGGTGGCTTGAGTACATGGTTTGAGTACAGGTCGTATCGGAGTACGCTTGGAATGTCTTGCTTGGCCTAGTGCAGCAGGAGGTTGACCAAGAGCCGAGAGTGCAACTGACTGAGCCCGGACACTTTCTTTCCTATGACCGAATGCGCGGCGGTCACGGCAGGATGCCTAAATGGTGTTGAACTCACGGCCCTGTTCTGGCTTTCTTGGCTTTCCTGGCTTTCTGGCTCAGCATCACGGAAGTGATATGCTGTACAGGCGCCAACACAATGCTAAGACCCTTGTGAAAGAACTCACAGAGCACGGGGCAAAAAGCGCCAAATCCCCATACATTCCCACCCCTAACGACTCAGGAGAGCTTGAACATTCGTAGGGCATCACGGCGTCACGACGTGAAAGGTGGAGGCTTGATAGGCGCCTGGACTCAGTCCTGCAAGCGACCCAATGCGAGCAAGGCTGATTGGTTCCCCGAAGCGGTTCTCAGATCAGAAGTCAGAATGCTTCAAACGCGCACTGGCTTGGGCTTGGCACTGAAGTTGCCGAGCACCAGCACTCAGCTTCTGAGCTGGGGAATCATGCCACGAATGTCAGCCACAGACTGAGCAGACGATGGCTGGAGCTCTAGACAAATACGTCCGGCAGCGCTGCTGCCGATGGCATGTCGTTGCACAGGAATCGTGCCATCGCCTTTCCCATGTCTGATAAGATGCCCTTCAATGTATGCCCATGTCTGACAAGATGCCCTTCAACGTATGGTTAATGTGGTGTTTCCTGGCGTGCGTGCATCCCACCCTGGGACATGTCACGCTGCGTGTACACATTCGCAGTCGGCTGGGCAATGTTAATGTCGGTGCTTGCAACTGGCACGGACGTGCCTACAGTGCCCAGGCAATCCCTCAAAGGCTGTGGAAGTTTAGACTTTAAACATCTCAGATCCTCAGTGTTTCGCCTCCGGATGCGCAACGGTGCAGTGTGGGGCGTGAACAGGATGCCTGTCTCGTCCTAGAAGCAGGCAGGGGGGGAGGATCTAGGCTCGAAACGGGGATGCTTTGCAGGGTTTCAGGGGGCACCACAGAGCTCGAGACTCCCCCTGCCAGTGCACAGAAATGTGGAATCGCAGCCTACCGCGGCGAGCAGGATGAAACTCTTGGGATCGAGCCAGGGTCAAGGGCTCGGGCTGTATGCGCCATTGGTGACGCGGATACGGCCCATACGGCCCATGTCCCTGCTCTCTCAGGACAGCCCGGAAACAAAGAAAGCAGCCAGGTCAAGGAAGTCGTGGCCAGCACGCAGCTGTGCAAGTTGCAGGCGCGAGAGGCGCGAGCTCCTCCGCGCTGGGCCGTTGCAGGAGCTCCGTGTTGCAGTGGGGGCTCATGCCCGGGCGATGTTGTGTTGCTGCGGGGAGCCGGCGAAGGAAGGGCCCAGTTAGCAGGGGAGTCTTGGCTCCTGTGATGTTCGGCAACTGGTGTCATGGAGAAAAGCCCCAGCTGTTGCGGGCATCCTTGTTGTTTGCTTGCGGCGTTCGGGAGTTGGTCATCACTCAGCAGAGGCGTATCGCAGTTTGCGATGGGATGCTTCCGGTGTGCCAGCACCCATGCTGTACTTCCGCAGTCAATGATTCGTCCACAAGCCAGTCGCGCTTTAGAGGGTATGGGGCCTCACCCCTTTTCTTGGCACTCACCTGAGAAGTCCTTGTAAGCACAAACCCGCACGGCCCTTGACAAGACCCATCAGTGGCAGGCTTTGCTCACTCGGAAGTGTGACCAGCTTTCGGACGTTGAATGACAGCTGGGAGCTGTTTGAGGTGGGACGTGATATGTGCGGCAAACAGCCAGCAATCTTCAAGGCCTGCGGTGGAAGCGCTTCCCATGTTTCCGGGTCTCTGCACACCTTTGAGCTCGCGCACGGCACATCACCTGAAGTCGGAAGCATCACCGAAGAGAAGCCGTCGAGAACCTCAGCACGTCTCTCTCTCCCTCTCTCTCTGGCTCTGGCATGCCTTGAACTTCTGGGTCTTGCTCGCCGCAACATCTGTTCAACATACGTGCCTTGAAGTCATCTTGCTCCGTCCACTGCAGCCCAGGAAGACAAGGGAGCCCTGCCAAGACACCTGTGCCAGGTGGAATTCCGCTCAGTCCCCAAGGTTTTCCGTGAATTCCCATAAATGTCGCCTGAGGCCCGGTGCTGCACTTAGTGGCTTGGGATGAACCTTCTACGAGACCGTGCAAGGTCCACTTT